TGAGGGGCGGAACGCGGGGTCGGCATGCCAGCACGCATGGAGGAGTGTCTGGAGCGCGGGGGTGTTGAACCGCGTATGAGGCAGCGCGGGGCGCTTGTTCTCTCCTGCGAATTGTCACATCAGTACAGGGACACTGTCGGGAAGGAGGAAAGGGGCTTACGAAGCACGAAATGCCGCACGGCGTCATCATCCGCGAGCGGCCAGGGCATCTTCCCCATAGAGAGTATCTCGACGCACGAGATGGCGTACGCGTACACGTCCATCTGCGCCGTCAGTGCCAGCTGGCTCAGGCCCGACATGAGCTCGGGCGCCTGCCACCTCAATGTGCCCCCTATTCAACCCCATCAGTCGAAGAACGAAAATCGAAAGGAAGGGAACGCACGAGGCGGTGTAGTCCCACTAAGCCTATACGCCTCCGACTTCATCTCGCTCTGTCCAAAGTCCGAAATGACGCAATGGACATCATCGTCAACAAGCACGTTCGCCGCCTACCAAGGCCCCCCCTGATTAGCGGATGGGAAAACCCCCAAAAAGAAAGAAAAGACGCACCTTAAGATCCCCATGCAACACTCCATTCGCATGCAAATACTCCATCCCCTGCGCAATCTCCAACATAAACCTATAAAGGTCCTCCTCCCTCTGCATGACCCCCTTCCCCACACTCGCGGGACTCCTACTATGCCTCCTCCTCTCTGCCTGCCCCACCACAGGTTGCGCCTGCCCCGCTTCCCACACCGGAAACACCACCCTCCCCCTCCCCTCCAAACCCCCCTCAACCCCCCTCTCAACCCTCTTCAAGAACTCCACCAAACTCCCGCGTCTCATATACGCACACACAAAAAACCACGGCCTCTCCCCACTCGCGCTGCTCGCCCCAAAGAGCTCCAACACATTCCTATGCCTAAGGGTTCGCCACACGCCCACCTCCCTGACGAAGAGCTCCCTCGGCGTCGTAGGGGCCAACACCTTGATGGCCACCGTCCGCCCACGCCATGCCCCGCGATACACATCCGAAAAGGCCCCGAGCCCGATGCGCGCGTCGCGTGTGATTTCGTAGCGCGTTATGGTCCAGGAGGGGAGGGACGGGGCCCCGCGGGACATCCGACGGAGGGCGTCGATACCGGTCTCGATGAATTCGCGGTCGAGGGTGGTGTCGTGGTCAGGGTCTGCTGTGTCTGAGGGCGGGCTCGTGGGTCCCTCCATGCTCGGCCTCTCCCTCTCCCTCTCCACACTGACCCTCCCCACCCGCCCCGGACTCCCAACAGCGCTCTTGACCCTCCCAAGACCCCATTTCCTCTTCGCCGCTTCCTTCCTCTCCCTCGCCGCCTCCTGTCCTTTCCCTTCCACCTCGCCCTCATTCTCCTCCCCAACCATCTCCAACGCCCTCTGCAGCGTTTTAATAGCCTCCGGCATCTCCTCTCTCCCAATCTGGAGGACCCCCAGCATTTGCGCATCGCTCCCCGCCCTCAGCGCAGCGCGCATGAGCGCCCTTAGATCCTCTGCGTCTTTGCGTGCGTCGTGGGTATCTTGCGAGTCGCGTAGGGTCTGCAAGGTAGGTAGGATTTGGGAGGGGCGGAGGAGGGAGGGGGATGCGGGCGTGGGTGGGACGGGGGAGAGTGTTGGGGTGGAGGATAGTGTCGGTGTACTGGGGAGAAGAGGCGAGCTAGGGAACGGGATCGAGTCGGGGGTGAGGAGCCCGGGCGAACTGGCGCTTGTGCTACTCGGTATCGGCGAAGGCTCCAGCGCCGGGGCAGGCGGGGGTCGCACCGTCGCTGTACTAGCGCTCATATCCATACTAGGGGTCACATCCCCACTTATCCCCCCACTCGTACTCGGGCTCAGTTCCAGCCCAAGCCCGACCACCTTCCCTCTGTCTTCAAGCATCCCAACCAACCTCTTAACCTCCTCCTCCCTCCTCCTCTCGCCGTCCTGCACAGTCCTCAAAATCCTAATCTGTATCCCTAGCCCGAACATGCCTAGCGCGTCCCCGAGCTGCTTGTCGCATGCCTTTATCTGGCCCTGGATCTCGTCGCGTTTTAGGTACCGCTTGAGGAAGGGCCGGTGGACTTGTTTGAGGAGGAATGTGTGGACTAATTGGAAGGATCTGTGGGAGGGGGAGGCAGGGGTGGTCAGTTAAGGAAGGAACGAGACGACGAAGAAAGCCCCGAAAGAAAGTAGGAGAAGGTTTGGGAAGAAGTCGAGGTGTGGATCGACGAAACGACACCTAACACAAGTCGGCACCGCCTCTTCGAGGCGAAACCACCCCCGGCGAAAAAAGATCGCGCTCATCGAACAGCTTATCCACTAAGCGACGCTCAACACTTTCATCGCCCACTATCCACGACCCCAAACAACGAATTCTTATCGATCCACGCCCCAATATATCAAGCCCCAGCCACCAAAACCCAGACCCATCTCCCAGAAAAACGATAAAAAGAAGACGAACACGAAAATGAAAAGAAAGCCAAAACACTCACTCAACAAGCACCCCCACGGGCCCCTTCAACTCCTCGCCAACCTCATCTCCGGCCTCGCGCACCTCTTCCCGTACCGAGAGTAGGATCTCGGCACAGCGCTCGGTGAGGCGTAGACATTGGAGGCGGTTTGTCTGTTACGAAAGGAGTCAGTAATAAGAACCGAAGTCGAATGCAAAAGGCGGATAAGGAGGAAGCGGAAGGAAGAAAGGAAGGACCAAAGAAGAAAAGGGGAAATCGAATCAGGGAAGCGAGCTCTATGCGCAAGAGCGAAAAGGAAGGAGGATTCAAGGGCAAGATTCAACACCACGAGTGAAAAACACGAAAAGAGCAAAAAGGGAAGAAAAAGAAAAAAGCAAAGTAGAAGCTACGGAGCGTAAGTGTGAATGACGAGTAATGTGAGATAAAGGAGTATGGGAATGTGAGGTAGTTGAGACCGGACGAACCAAGATAAAGCAACGAGGAGAAACGGAAAAAGGTGGGTGAAGAACGAAACAGGATATCCAAACAATACGGGGAGACAAAGGAAGGACGAGGCACCAAAGTATGCATGACTAAAGTGAAAGAAAGGTGTACGGACGAGAAGAGGCGGCTGAAGAGTCGCACGAAGGACGAAACATGGAAACAACCCAAAAGCAAAGAAAAGAAAAGAAAAGAAAAGAAACGAAGAAACTTACATCAACGCCTTGAACGGCATCCCAAATGCCCAACAGGACCCTCGCGGCGGGAGCCAGACCTGGGACTGGTGCTAGCTCAAGTAAGTCGACGCTTGTAAGGAGGACCTCGTGCGCGACGTCCAGCGTCGTACCTAGGATTGAGGTGGTGGCTTGTTTTACTCTCTGTGTGAGGAGGTTTCGGTTAGTATTGGATGGAAGAGAGGGGGAGGAGGGAAAGAAGAGGAGAGGGAAGGAGGGAAGGAGGGGCGATGAGGGAACGGAGAGCCGGCAGAGAAGGAACGAGGAAGGACGGAAACGGAGAAGAAAGCAAGATTCACCTCGCGCGTCAGAAGCCACCCCTCCGTCTGCTCCTCCGGGACTTTCTCCCCCGCGGTACTCTTCCGCCTTGCATGGGTGGGTGTGGTCGCCTGCCAAGGCCTCGCCCTCCTCGCATCCTCATCGAGCTCGTCCCGGCCAAACGATGTCCACCAGCTCGCGGGGCTTCCGAGAAGGCGTTTCTCTTGTTCCTTTTCCTTGTCTTTCTCGCTGGTAACACTATCGGCTCTGCGTCGGGAGGAACCGCCGAAGAGGCCTAGCATGGAGAAGCCACTGCCCTCCGCAGACATGGGCACGCTGGATTCTGAGACGACGCGGCTAAGCGGGGAGCCCAACGTCCCTCCCCCTTGTTGTGGCGGTGTGGGTCGAATCGCGGGAGTGGTTTGTCCTCGGGGCCTCGTACTTCCATTTCCACTTCCCACCGGATCGAGGGGTAAGGAGGGAGATAAAGGCGAGGGGGAGGGTGACGCGCGCGGTGTTGAGCGCGGGGAGTTTGGGTTCAAGGGAGAGGGCGTGAGCGGGGAGGAGGCGGGGCCTGAGATGGAGGTGGGCCGGGAGCGGGTGGTGGTGGGTGGGGTCGTCATTTCTCTAAGGGAGTCTATGTGTTTGGGGTATCAGGAGGAGAGCTGCGTCCGCTAAGATAAAAGGGCGAGCAAGCGAACGCAGCGAGGAAGGAGAGGAAAGAGAGGATGACGATGGTTGTTGATATATCGTTAATCGTCGTGGGAACGCGCCCTGATTGGGTTGATCGATCTAGATCGGGATTCCGACCCTGGGTTTTGACTTACTCGAGACGGGGGCAATTGCTATGCTCTCGAGACGAAGGGTGTGAAGAGAGAAACAGATACGACAAACGCCTACTTCTACTTCTTCGTGTGACTCGGACAGAGCCCGAGCCCGGAGATAATGACAATGAACCCTTTTTGCTTCCTCGCTTCCATCCCTCCTGATCGCAGCCCTGCGGCACCGCGCCCATACACACCCTTTACGGTATTCGGCTATGAATAGCCTACTACATGTCTTACGCTAATCACGGATACCTGGTACTGGTGCACCTGCACCTGCGCTGCTCTAGGCTCTTGTAGTTCTCTCACTCGTCAATCCCAGCTGTCATCCCAAGCTCCGGACAGTCAGCTTCCAGCGTCGAGCTGCCCAGCTACGCCTCCCTCATGACATTGCAACCTGCGCCGCACTCCTCACCCACCTCCATTCCGCATCCCGCTCCGTCGCCACCCACACCCACAAACTGTCACTGTCAATGTCGACGTGGCGGGCACACTTGTCCTACGTAGTCAGAAACACGGAGCTTCCTTCCATTCCCCCGTTTTTATCTCTATACTTCCATTCTGCCCCACCGGTACAAGTCCTGCCGACGTATCCTTGCCCTTTCCACTTCAGTCCTGTGCGCTGTCATGGTATCATCATCCCCGTTCTACTTTCCGTGCCATCTCTTACGATTCGGTCCATTCTCGGTCTGTTCCCCACAATTGCGCATTCGTGTCCCTGATTTTTATAACTCTCACTCGCAAGGCATGGTGAGATGGCCGAGCGGTCTAAGGCGCCAGACTAAGGTTGACGCTTATTATCTGGTCTCTTCGGGGGCGGGAGTTCGAATCTCCCTCTCATCATCGTACCACTCATGCCCTCTTTTTACCCATTGCTGTACCTTCACAACAGTCTCACCATCGCATCGACTTCTCGTTCGATATCACCAACACCCACCTGCTATCTGTGGTTCTCATCCTTTTCCCTTCCCTGGAGCATGTTGTTCGTGGGCCGTGTGCACCACATCACATACACCCAAGAAGAGTCATATCCAGACTGCGAGTTCCATTGTAATTTGCACCATGGATGGACACTTGATGAGGACATCTGCGGTTACGTGTCCAACCCACCACCGCCACCGCTACAACTGTCCGGTCTGTGCTTGGAATCCACGTCGGCGTGGAACAGGGCGCCTGTCATCTCTCTTCTGAAAATCGTACTCAAGACTTGGATCTCTTGCGCCACCACGAATCCATGTAGACTCGGGAATCTCCCTCAACCCATCACATCGATTTAGACGATCCCACACACCATCATGCGTACCGCACCTCTAGTCTGTCTGTTACATTCCCTCATGCACAGCGCCATTGACGATACAGGTACCTCTTTGTACTATCTATTGAGAATTAGTGCGGCACCGGATCGGCGTCGTCTCTCATGAAGATCGTACTCGAAGCCTTGCGGACTGAATCTCACAGACCTTGTGCAACTCAAGAACGGTACATTACATATCGCGATACCAAATTCGAAATCCCTCACGCACCCACATCCATTGTGTTCCCTGCCGGTTAGCCACGACACGAGGGTGAACACTACATCCTGTATCGAGAAGGGGGAACTTGACTCACCCACTTCTCATATTAGGTTCCCTTCCTGCGCCACTTGCACCCAACAACGACGCCGTGGTGCTGCTGGTGCCTCGACTCCCGTCCCTCGTGGAGTCATGCAGGAAGGAGTGCAGCTCTCCGTGAGCATATTGATATCTAGTATTAACATATCCATGTTTTGGGCCCTTCAGCGGATAAGATCGTGATATCAACCTTATTTCTCTGATACGAACACTCAAGAATGGAGACATTGCATTTCGGTACGGCGCTAGGCCATAACCTGATTCATTGTACCTATTCTTTGGATGGGGGCGTTCGACTCTCCCCTCTCTCATATGAATCGCCTGTTAACTTTTTGACCCCACATCATAATTTGTTGGCCACTCCGTAGCTCGCACTCGCAATAACAGCACCACCGCCGTGCAGTTAAGCTCACATCAGCTACTGGAGGGAGATGGAATTTTCCTCTCATTAGTAGAAACTCAACAGAGGAATCATCTTTTCGTCTTGCCTCTTCATCACCAGCGCCACTTTCGGCAAAACACCACAGATTTGCCGTGCAGCCTAGACTAGCCCTGTCTCTTCGGAAAGCACAAACTGCTGAAATTTCGAGTGCTCGTGTATCGAATTATAAGCTTACACGGCATCCCCCCGCAGGGTACCTGCACATTGAATAAATAGTGTTGCCGAAGTTCAGCCCTGAACCGCGGTTCACGACCAGAACCATTGAACCGGACCTGAGGATAACGACAACGTCACGATATCTTCAGGTGTGCAGCTCCAGATCTCCAACAGGGTGAATGGGAGTTCGATCCTCCTCTAATTACCGATTCTCACACACGATGATTTTTTTGCCTTCGCTCTTTGCAGATGCCCTCCACTGCAATTGCATAGTATCACAGCTCTCTGCCCAACTCAATAGCAAGTTCAATCAATTTCCTATGTCGATCGTTGTCTTCGGATAACTTGTTCCGCGGTGGCATTGATCCACAATTACTTGGAGTGTCGAAGTCTACTATAGCATCCTGTGACAGATATGTTAGATTATTCTGTATATACTCATTGGGAGGGAGCTTGAACTTCACCTCTGACGGATTGTGGTGTGTCGGGTCCTTTTTGTCCGCGTTGATTATTTATCCCCTCCTTTCCGTCGAGATCTTCCATCGCCACCACAAACCCAGCAGCCCTCATGATGATGTCCCCTTTGCATCGATTTATTTCACGAGGCATCATCGCATGTTGCGATATATTTAAAACAAACCATAATTTTTCAGCCCACCTGAATACGCGGGTGGTCGACTCTCCCAGTCTCTCTGCATCATGATGTTCTACATCTTAGGACACATTACATCATCTGCATCTTGGATCTGACGCTGGACGCTTATAGGGAGGGCATAAACGTGCTGTGGTGAGGGTAAAGTCGCTCTGAAGATCACAGCGCCACAGGGAGGAGTTCGACTCTCCGTCTCGGTAATATAATGTGCAACATCATCATTTTATAACTGTTCAACACGGCACCGAGGCAGTACCAGCAACATATTTTCGTCTATCCTCGATATCGAAAGAGGACCCGAAATGCAGTGTATATTCATTTTCAGAAGGCAACCAACTATTTTGCGTGGGCATAGATACACACACGGTTGGTGTTGTCATGAAACAATTCATTACTGCCATAGTGTGGAGTTACGAAGCGCTACAAAGTACCCCCTGACAGTGCTTATCTAACATCTCCCTCTGTTGCAAGCCAGGCCGAATATAGAACAATATGGTAGCAACTTTTACCAACGCGCAATATCCATGCAACGACAACTAAATAAAAAAGAAAGAAAGAAAGAAAGAAAAGAAAAGAAAAAAAAACACTCTTGATGTGAAGTAGACAAGAACAGATCTTGAACAACCGAGGAGCGCAGCATGGATTCGACACTGGCATAGATATAATGGGTCCTGTTTTGTGCCCCACTGGCCCAGAGATTGAACGAACGAAGGGTGGGGAAGGGGAAAGATTGGAGCGGAAGGAAGGACGTTCAAATACAAAGTCGCAGACAGGCCACGAGCATCGAAAAGTGAAGGCAAAGCATCATATGAAGAAGGAACCAAAAGAAAAGAAAAGAAAGGCCGCCAAAGTGACGATGGGGTCAAGAATAACGGTGTTCGAAAAACAACCAAACCATAATCAAGAACGAACGAACAAAGAATGGGAGGAGAATAAACAAAATGGACCGAGAGAAGATGATGGCCTCAAAATGGAAACTCGAACGCGGGGAGGAACTCGAGCCAAAATATATGGAAGCTCGAACAAAAGAGAGATAAGAAATCAAACAAAATCACGAGGGGCCTTTGAGTGCAAGTGCGTAAATGTAAAGTAGGCATGGAGAAGACGACCCTGACAAAAAACGGGGGGTAAGGAACGGAAAAGGATGCCAGAACACCATGCAAAGGGAGAGGAACGACGAGCAATCGAAGTTTGAATAATACCCTCGACACAAAACGAAGAAAAGAAAAGACCGAACAGGAATAGAGGTCGAACGAGAAGGATGGAGGGATGAAGAGATATAGGGCACACGCGAAGATGGGACGAATATAAATGGGGAAGCTCGAACCAGACATGTCGACAGGTAGCATCAACAATCAAGGCCGGACGAACGTCGAAACAGCCGCCTCGAGGTAAAGAACAGGTCTTCATCGAGACCTGTCGCACGCAAGGCGAACGAAATCAACCAATCGCAGCCGCATCTCCAGTCACCAACCATACAGGCGAGGCGAACAAGCCCCATAACACTCGACACGACATCCCAACCGTGGTCCCACCACCCACCCAAGGGATCCTCAACAAGGACCCCCACGGGCCCCTTCAACTCCTGGCTGACTTCATCCCCCACCTCGCGCAAGAGCAGGATTTCGGTGCAGCGCGCGGTGAGGCGCAGACAATGGAGGTAGTGCGTCTGCTTATGAAGGCGAGCCAGTATTGGTGAAGAATGGGGTATGAGGGTGGAATGGGGGTCTAGAAAGTAGGTAGGCAGGAAGGAGGAAAGGGCTCAATCGAACCCGAAAAAGAAGAGAACGATATGGGACAGAAAGTTTGAGGATGAAACAGTGCGGTTAGAACGGGGCAAGGAAGCGGGAAGGATGGAGGCGGGGATCAATAATCGAAGCCTGAGGACGAAAGCATCCCACAAAGAGTAGCTCGATATTTGAGGTGAACACGAAAAAGGGAGGAACGAAATGGGAAGGGTAACAGGCAAAGCTCTTCACGCGAAGAATGGGGTTGGGGTGGGTTCAAAAAATCCACGAAAGAAGGGACGAAGGTGAGAAAAAAAAAATTTGAAAAGAGAATCGAAGCGAACATGAAGTGGTGAACGAGGACAATTTGAAGCAAGTGCGAAAGAAGGAAAATCAAGTATAGGAGTCGAAGCGTTCGACCAAAAAAGGTGGGTTCGGACCAAATAAGAGCTAAAATGGGAAAAAAGAGGCGAGTCATCGAAGCTCGAACCAAAAACACGTAACAAAAAGGGAAAATTCCATGCGAACGAACGAAGGAAAACAAGGAAAGGAGACGCAACGAGGGATCAAGTAAAAGCGAGGGGGAAGGTGATGCACGGGGTGTTTCTGATTCGAGGTCTAGGGATTTCACGACAAGAGAGACTGAGAGAATGAAAGGAAAGCCGCGTCCGCTATGAGGAATAAGGCAAGCAAGGAAACGCAGCGAGGAAGCAAGAGGGAAGAAGAGCAAAGGAAGAGAGGGCGGTCAGGGTATCGATTGCCGTGGGAATGATGGCCTGCGCCCGATGTGGTATTTGATCGATGGATTGATGTAGATCTGTGCGGACCCTGATTTTGATTTACTTGAGGCGAGAGGCTTGAGTGATTGCTCTCTGTCGTCTGTGCTGCAACGAGACTCGGAAAGTTTGGGAGGGTGGCAGCGAGCTCGTATGCAGAAAAACAGGTTTGACAGACGCCCCACCTTCTGCTCTCCTCCTTCACTCTGATTGGTGTGACTCGGACGTTGGACTCGGGCCGAGCCCGAACTCGGAGATAATGATAATGAGTTCCCTTGCTCGCTTCCATCCCAAGCGCGTCCCTCCTGATCGCATCCTCCCTCATACGCTGGGGCACCGCGCCTGTACATACCTTTTGCGGTAGTCGGCTATGAATAGCCTACACCACGTCTTATACTAATCACGGCCCCAGCGTTTGTGCTGCTTTGTTGTAGGTCTCTCACTCGACAATCATCACACCTGTCGCCACCAATCCCGGGTTCCGGGCACAGATTGTTGATACCGGCGTCGAGTCGTCTAGCCTACGCCGCAAGTATGAGGTTATCACCTGCAGCTGCTCCACACCCTTTAGGGTTTCGCACTGTGCCCAACCCGCCACTCTCACCCACGAACCATGACATCGCGAACATTACTACCCGTCCTCGCCACTTCCATTCGGATCTCCCGTCCATTCTGATCACTCTACATTCTACCCATCGCCCCTTTCTTTTGTTGCAGCTCCTGACCCACTTCAATCCCCACTCCTGACGAATTTGTGCCGTTCCGTCCCTATGCACACCCACGAACTCTCAATGTCGACGTTGCGGGCATCGGTCCCCTCGTCTTGCCGTTTCAGTAGTATCCTGAGCCCTATCGCATTACACACGCGGATATCCCACCCTCCATTCCATTTCGCATCCCCTTCCACTATTCCACACGACTTATTGACGTGGTGCTATTTCCGGTGCCGTGTTTCCTCGTGTCCTTCACTGGTCGGCTACATCGCACGAAAACCACACACTCTACACATGCAGCATGGTGAGTTAACCGAACCGTGTAAGACGCCGGACTAGGGTGCTTTTGTAAATCGTGTTTATCTAGTCGGGGCGGGAGTTCGAACCTCCCTCTCATCATTCCGGATCCGTCAATGAAACGTCTTTTTCTTGTTTGAAATTCATCCTCAGAACATTAGGCCCTTCCAGCTTCAGCCGACACTGCATTTCCTTCTTTCCCAAGCCTTCATCTGCGCAATAGTGAGATGGCCAAGTGGTCCAAGGCTAGAGACTAGGTATTTCTTCGGCGGCGGCGGTTCGATTCACCCTTTCATCATTCCAAGTTCTTCCACATAGTTTTTGCTCAAGTTGCACAATTACTTTCCTTGGACCATCGCGAGCATCGGCACTCCACCACACGCCCCATTCATATTCATTCGAGATCGAGCAGACTCATCATCAAACGCAATCCATTTTCTGTCCCCCTCGATTGTTCATGGACACCCGCGCCACGCACTACCAAACCCCACCTCCGATTCCATGGACGTACCCAGATACATACGTGCAATAGTGAGATGGCCGAGCGGTCTAAAGGTGCCAGACTGGGGTCAAGGAGTTCGACAAAGTATCCTTGATATCTGCTTTCGTCGGGGGCTGGAGTTCGAATCTCCCTCTCATCATTGAATTGGTTATGATATTTTTTCTCTTCCGAATCTCCCACACATGATTTCTGCACGATTCCAAGTCCAACCCAAAAACGATACTTCTTCCATCACGATACCAAATCCAACACCACAAGCTCCCAAAATCTTGTACCTTCCGAGTCCCATCCTATTCACTCTGACCGTGTCTAAAGCAACGTGCAATGTAGCCGCTCGGATATAACTGGCATGCTTGGCACTTTAGGCCCGGTTTTAGGTGGCTACAGACGCCCGCTAACCCTGCAACTGAATGTTTTGAGAACCCGTTGGGGCGAAAGTTTCGTCGAAGTCCATACCGGGGCGCTGGCTGAAGCCCTTCAACCACACGAGTTTTGAAGCAATCAATTGCGTTGTCAGGGAGGTGCTTGACCTTGAATACCCGCAATGCATTAGTTTTTCCCTGGGGGAAGTTACAATTGACGGATCGTGGGGCGTCCACAAAGTTCTGAGGTCATTCTGCAGACCGTCAAACATCACACTTAAGAAGCGATCGATCGTAGTCTGCAGAGCGCCACAGATCGGCAGGACTAATGTGCGGTAGGAACAACCGGCGGTCTGCGAATATTGCTCAGACCGTCAAACATCATACTTGAGAAGCGATTGATCGTAGTTTGCAGAGCGCCACAGATCGTGGAGCGTCTGGACTGCGGTCTGCAAATATCGCTCGGGCGCTGCGGAATATTGTCGAAATTCGGCGGTTTGAACCCTGCGACTGCCGCAGACCGTGGTGTTTTGGCGGTTTCGAGGTCGCGTCGCGACGCATATCTTCGTAACGTAAATGAGTAAGCATTATACCATATTTTTTTACTTACATCGTTAGGCGTCAACCAGATACCCCCGTTTTGTTGTACACCTATTTACTATGTATATATACAAACGCAGACCCGCAATATCTAAGAAATTGGCGGTTCCGTTTTCGAAAGTCGGATCCTCGAGGAAGATGTTCGCATTTCGTGGTCACGAAAGTTACGCTGCGTTCTCCATTGAACTGTTACGGACATATCAGGTGCATATAACGGTATAGTCGTATTGACTTGTGTTATTTATCACTAAGCCTCGTGATGACCTCTCAAGACGCTCCCATCGACCTCGAGTCTTCAACGCTGGATGGACCTTAACTGTTTTTCACATCACTAGATAGAGGGGACTTGTAAAACCATTTATCGCCATCAAACTCAGAAAAGCTATTGGGCACCTAGTAGGATGATTCGATAAGCATCAGCCTTACTGAGTCACACCACATAAGAAAGCTTACCCAGGAAGAGAGGATGCCAGCAATCACGGCGGGATCGTACCGATTGGAAGTCACGGGAACGGTGACATTCAGAGCCGCATCTTCTGTTCTCCATCCAACCACCTCCGATTCCCAATAAGTTGCCCCTTCACCCCCACTGTCAAGGTCAACAGCAAGAAAGATCCATCTGTCACCAGTGGTCAAAGCACCACGAATGTGAGACTTCCTGAATGGAATTTGAATAGAATTCAAGAATTGTGGCAAAAGCAACGGACCCAAGGTGCTTCGCACAAGCAACGAGCTCAACAAGAGCCTGGGGAGTGTGCGCCTCGAGTACAATGCCGTCGGAAACATTGGCCTTAGCGACGAAGAACGCAACTACGTTTTGAGAGATACGCGGTGTGAGCTGAGGAGGATTGCGAAGATGCATGCCTGTATGCAAAGTAAGTAGGTCCATCGAGGTCGAGCGACAAAGGGAAAAACTTCGTACGGGCAATCCGGGCATCCGCCAGGAGGGCAGTATAATCGATCACTCCAGAAACAGTGTCCATCATCGATTCCCTTGGGCGAGCGCTAGGTACTGGTTTCTCCAGCATCACGACCACCCTTTGGTCGGAGGGAACCATAGCGGCGGTTCTGAAGAAGAAACCATCGATAAACATTCGGGAAGAAGTCTTGTTCTGAATCGATATTAGTGGAATCTTGGGTGTTCGGGGATTAGACGAAAACATACCCACGTTGCTGTAAGTATTGGACAAAAACGACAAATGCTTGTACATATTTTCGTTCGACCACAGCTCAGCAACACCAAGTTCTCGGGTAGATTCAATGGCATCGCGAAGTTTCTCCTGGCCCTGAAGAACCAACATGCCGGCCAGTGTGATATTCAGCCGATCCAAATTGCTTTCATTGACAGCAGAAAATGACAAGGACTGTAAAGCAGTGAGAAAGTCGGACGTAAGGACACAACTGAAAGTCGTACAAGCGGATCCTTGGTTCGGGATTCGAGGAGAGCGATCACTTTATCTAGGTCATCACCGAGTGTGTCGGATGGTGTTGGTTCTGATTCAAGCACGTCATCAAAAACGATGGTTTTCCGAAGCTTTCGAAGTTGTACGAGCGACAGTTCGAGCTCTAGGCCGCTGAGGCCTGAGATCTTACGTTTCTTGGATGCTGACGTGCTGGTGGAAGTGAACGAAGGAGGACACAAGGGCCACATTTTGCCCAAACGCATTAGTCAGTGCACCGCCACAGAGCGGCTGTCCAACGATCAAACAATCACTGTGATGCACGTAACGGGTCAATCGACCTTTTCTCGACATTCTTGAAATCAACTAGCCTCAATTTTATCTCATCCGAAAGCTATGAAAACATACTTCAAAATGATACCCAACATCCCCCAGAATAATGACTTTGACTGTGGAAGGAATGGGGTATATGAAATTTGGACTGCGCACGACCTCTACAACCGGCAAAAATGGCTCAGATTGCATTGGTAAAGTATATGACCTCAAAAGACTCTAAGTCATCGTAATAATGAGTGGTAAACGAGTCTTTATCGCGTGACGGCCCTTGAGACGGAGGGAGGAAGAAACATGAGGATGACGTACGAACACAATCGTCAGATTTGAATCTGCGATTCAGGACAACAACAACCACTACTACCCCCGCGGCATCGCACCGTGCACACATTTCGAGCGCCCAGCGAAAAATAGCCTATAGCTACTAGTAGGCTACACTCCTCCCAATAGTCACGGATACCTGGTACTGGCAGCACAGCGCTTGTGTTCGAAGTTTGTAGTTGACTTCCCTTACTGCCGATCCCGAGTTCCAGCCATAACTTGTCGATATTAGCATCGACTTGTCCAGCTACGTCGTACCAATGACGCTATCACCTGCTCCATACCTTGTACGACGTCTCAAGGACCTCGCACTGCACCGGCTTCGCCACTCATTCTCACAGATTGTTGATTGTCACCATCCTCGCGGACAACATAATCACTTCCCTCGCCACTCCAGTATCCGGATCTTCCCTCCATTCTAATAGCTCTACATTCTGCCCATCCGCAGTTCTCTTTCATTGCGGCTCCTGCCCCACCTCCATCCCGTATCATGAGGCATTTATCCCCCTGCGTCCACACGCACAACCACAAACTGTCAATGTTGACGTCGCAGGCTTGACTACTCCGCCCTCGCCACTTCAGTCGTATCCTGCGTCCTACGGCATCACACACCGCGGATCTTGTTTCCATTCCGCACCCACCCTTCTCGTTCATTCTTTGCTGAGGGCAAACCTGTTCTGTGTCCTCTGTCGTTCTACGTCGCCCACCGCGACTCGTGCTTGGTGTATTCCCTCCTTCGCTAATCAACTACATCCCACGTACTCCACCTGAGTATCATGGTGAGATTGCCGAGCGGTCTAAGGCAACAGACTGGGGTATCATACCACTCAAGCACTACTAATCTGGTCTCTTCGGGCGCGGGAGTTTGAATCTCCCACTCATTATCAGAAAATCATCCAGAATAGTTTTAGATTCTGAATCTCAAACCGTCTTGCACACCCACCTCAACAACGGCGCTTCTTGTATCATGATACCAAACGACGTCAATCTCGTGTTCCCTACCACCTCTCAGCTCTGGCAGTCTCTCCGCCACCTACTGTACCCTCACACGCAACAACATCGCGATACAGCACGGCGTCCGTGGACCGTCACCACTTGGGGGTGAGGTTAACTATCCTCGTCTTCGCATGCCTGGCCCGCTGTAACTATTTATACTTTTCTTTTCATACTCCTCAAACTCTGGTGTAACGCAGTGGCGTTTATCCTCTATCACAGTGTTAACACACATTTACTCCCTCTCCCTCATGACATCGATATACAGCGCAGTGTCGCCCATCACTTAGGCTTGCGAAGTGGGAATTCGACTTCCCTCGTTCTCCCATGCTTGAATCCACAGACTTTTTGGGTTGGTATTTTTATATATTTCCATTTCTGTCAGCGCTAGTGTCTACGATCTGTCAATCTCGACATACATCCAATATATTATACCTCCCCTCCCCCCTTCTCGCTCCCTCCTATCATCACACCGACTTCCAATTGCCAGCACGCCACATACCAGACTAAGTAAGAATTTCAGATCTCGGGTATAGCGGTAACCTTGTCTCTCGCGTGGGACCTGTTTTCTGTGCGCCATAACCCCGCTGCCCCCGCTGCGTTGATGAATTTATCTCCACATACGGGCATGCACATGGACTGGACATATTTTTCCCTTGTGTCTATATCTCAGCGCTTCAGTGCTCACACTCCCGCCCCGCGCCAGTCATGCACAACATCTAACCTCCAGCACGTGTGAGCGGAAGTTCGAATCTCCTCATCATCACTATTGAAGATTGGCATCCTTTTCTCATTCTTGAGGCGTCGAGTCGTTTACAGCCACACCCTACCCTACACTCCTCATGCGCAACACTCGCGTAGGGCCTGTTTTCTGTGCGCCATATTATGTGGAGTTCGACCATCCCCCTGCTCACTGTTTATCCTCGTATAATGTTTGGGACTGAGATTGGACTTCAGTTATACCCAAACGCACACCCAACAATACCAAAATCGCCCTCTCTTTTCACCGGACTACGTTCAGGATCCTTCTGTTTCACGCCATCCACCACGCATACACAATAAACCACCAATGTTCAGCACTCATCATCATACCTGCGCAGTGCACACCCAAAAAGGCCGCATTGCACTGTGGGTACCACGATCACCGTGTTGTTCGTGGTTGTGGGCCGTGCTCCAGCTTTGACAAAAAACAGCGCCATTACCATGAAGTACTGTCTTCATCACCAAAGGCGGCGGACTGTGTTCGATTTTCATACTCTCTAATAGGAGGCTTGAAGCGGATTTTGGTTTTCGGGTGTCAAGTTATCGAACTTCATTGTGTATAGAAATATCTCTTGCTCGGCCTCATCGTCCCTTAAACAGCAACATCGCGCTGCCGCACAGATCCCGACTCCGTTTGCTATGTAATGCGATGCGCTTGCGGGGCTGGGCTCGACCCTCCTTGTCCTTGAATGATCTCTTCGAACATGAGAGTGCCACATTTTTCGTACTTTGTTGTAATCAGTCACAGCGACCAAACAGCAACAGTGAAAATTTGAACGGAAGGGTAGACTCCGTAGAGTACTGCCAAAGATGGCATTCTTTACACCTCCCGATCCCGTCCTTCCAGACGAAATACCATATCGTTCCAGTCTTAATCGACCTTGCTCGATTCCGTTAGCTTCCCATACCAAGACGCTCCGTCAACCCTCCAAGACCTGTGCTGGACAGGATCCGTGAAGTGCACCTTGTTTACAGCCACTAAAGCTGGAAGATGAACACTGAAAGAGTCTGCCAACTTTGGCGCCGCGCTATCATCCGTCCCGGGAACGAGGAAGTTGACAATCCTCAGGCGCGTCGAGTATTGTGGTCGGGTTGCCAGTCGGTCCAACCGTTCCCAGACACTGCATTCGGCTGCATTGTCAAACACCGGTGTTTTGGGTGGTAGTAAGACACTAATAATCCTTAATAAGTTCCCGCAGTGGGATTCGATCATGTCACAGATGGAGTTCAGCCCTGACGCCAGTTGGCAGTGAAGGTGGACAATGAATTGTTTCAGATTCGATGCGTTTGCAAGGGACAGACATTTTTTGGAAACATCACTTGGTGCTGTAGGGCTCACATGAGAATGCCACATGGGAGGTAGGAACCCAAAACGTACGTACCAATGTGAATGGAGAGACGAGTCAGCAATGACGCCTTATCAATCACTCCTTGGAGGAAAGGCAAGTTTGTTTCGTCGCACAATGTCGCACCTGCGTTTAATTTCTCCAGTCCTTCAAGATTGAAAAACGTTAATACCTGCAGGAAGACATGACGATTTGTGCAGATAAGTTCTTTCGGGGAACTTTTCGCGTCATAGGAAACGTCCATGTTCTGCGACGTGTCCGATTCCTGCCGGAAGGGATGGGATATTGCCATGGACACACGACAAACTTGAGAGCACGCCTGAAGAATTCGCAAGGGGAACATGTTCAGAGCGTGTTTAGGGAATGTCACGCTTTGAAGTGAAGGATATTGTAAAATCCTCTGCAGAACACGGAGAATCGTCTCCGAAGGCTTGATGGTCGCTGTCAAGGAGATTGATCGAATAGCGAGATATGGAAGGATCATGACTGCGGCCGGAATGCCTCCATGATGGCCGATAGTTACGTTGAGAGTACGGACATAGGTGTAGATGACGGGATTGATTGAAACGATCTCGACAAGGCTGTCGTTCCTGTCCTCGTCCTGAGCCACAAGATTGAGTGTAATCGATGCAAATATCCTCTTTTGGCAGGGTACACGAAGGAATGCGGATGCAAGGCTGCATGCAGAGAGGGTCGATGAATCATTGATGTGCATTTCTACGATTTTGAGGACCAGCTCTCGGGGAACACGAGGGACATCTTCCATTGGGGAGGCACGAAGCAGAACGGTTGATTTCAGAATAGAGAATAGATCCTGTCCGACTTTAAATAAAACTGGAGGAGGACACCACACGGAGAAATCTTGTATCAACAAGGGGTCAGCAAGCCAACAGTTTGATGAACCGCGCATTTTGGCACAATTCGTGTTCGAGGATAGGAAACAGATCATGCCTCTCGATGTGAAACACGCCGTTGAGCCCGAGCTTGGGAATTGACATGATCACAATGCCACATTTGAACTAGACTAGAACTGGATGAGCGGCGGTGCAGAATGATGAATTCTGATATCATCGGCCGGAGTACCAAAGCTATGTAAGACTGGGCTGTGCCTCAGTAGAGCAGGAACTCAGGCTGAGGTACCAGCGCTGGGCATAGCACAGAACAGAACCATATCACACCCTGAATATTAAACATAAACGTGGGTTCCGGCACACCAAGGCAAGCATCACGCACCGGTTCCATTATGCATGCATGACGTCAATTCGCGAGATCTGTAACCTGAGCAATATCAATTCCAGGTCTTGGCGTGCCACAAATCTACGATTATAAAGAAATACCGACCCTAAAAGCCAGTACACCCGTATTTGATATGTGCTTCCTCCCAAAAAAAGCAAACAACTGCTTCGATTCCGCCTAGACTTTCGAGCACATTATCAGCCAACTAAAAGGTAACACATCGTAGCTCAGTATTAACGAAAAGTATTGACGCAGAGGACGAGCCTGGAAGCTGAAGATTGCATACCTGAACGAGGATCATGGCATGGCGAAAAAATGGAGAATTCATTCGTCCTAAATCCAAACCTATCGGCGGTGGGGTTAAACCACTGAGGTTCGTTAATGCAAGTCAATCCATAGAGATAGCGGTAATGACCAGAGTGCCAGTCTGCGGTGATATCGACTCAGCAAAGAGAATCATACGCGCCTTGCCTGATGACAATTCCCAAGTCAGAACACCAAGAAAAAGACGCTGTGACCTCGAGGGCATACAAGAAATCGAATATAAGTAACTGTGCAATGCCATCTACGAACGCAGTGCGGGCATTACAATTGGCATTGGGGCGGAAGAAGAAATCGAGCAAAAAATCACAACATGATGCATGATGGCCGGCGAATGGCATGGAGACGATGGGCAACCTTCGGATTGCCAGGAATGGATTCTGATCAGACATCAAATGTTTGATAGTACCACTGTGACGATCCACAATGCACGCATTATGGCAGTCTCTCCTAGACAGACTCATCACGTCGCACCTCCTTTCTATAAAAAATATAGTGCACTTGATGCTAGTCAGTGACGACGGTCCTCACCAAGAGCACCAGCCCCAAACACTGTCGAAACTGCTGTACGTCTCTTCATCTAGCCAGACTGCAAATACTTCTGGTACTGCTATTGTTATCGGTGGCCTCTTCGACATCTCATCATCAATGACCAATGTTGATATGTGAGGCATACTTCGATTGGTATTTTGAGATCAGGAACCACTAGGACAAATGCGGTTGTGATATGGATAAGATGAAGATAATGATTAGTCGCCGTCAGCGCCGTTTCCCTCTTTCCCCCCCAGTAAATAATATGGATATTGTCTGTCACACTGCAATTTGCCGATCCTTCAAACGCCGAAAATGAATTTGGCCACTGGATGTCGCCACATTGTTCTATGATTAAAATTCAAGCTCAGTAATGTTAAAGTACATATAGATTCCATGCCTGCACAAGACGTAAGGGAACAGCAATGTTCCACAGCAACGAGAGTCAAATTACTGTTGTACAGAGGTCCAGTATTTGCCGAAAATCACTGATCGGAATTGGACCCTCATTTACATGGCGTCGAGAGAGAACAAGAAAGATATACATAGCACTTATGGGAGAGAATATGTTCTCCATATGCATTAAAATAGGGCTGTATACTAGTATTTGAGTTAGAAGAGATTTGGAAGCCACAAAACGTGGACAATCAATATACATACAAAGGACCAGTGAATTATTGTATGGCTTTTTAGGA